ACCTCCCTCCATTCGCCCCCACCCCACGTGTCAAGTTGGCCTCCAAATGCCCCTTGATGTCACGGCAGCAATTCACATTTACTAAATTGCTTCTCTGTACGTGCGCATGCTTTGGCTCAATTAGCTTGTCGAACAGTTTCCTATCGCCTAACCTCAAGTGGGCGTGTCATTCAACAGTTTTTTGGGGGGGGAACAACTCACTCCTACAATAGCTTGAAGAATTTGTAAGGCACCATCATAGTTGGGTTTCCACACCAACACTCAGGCTAGAGTTGTTCTATCTATCTGATAAAGCCTGCTCAGATGAGAGGCAAAACATCTATGATTAAACGGAAGCGTCCAATTCCGATATATGCCAAATCGTGAGCAAATACGATCACCGCTGAGCGGTTTGCGTTCAACTTTGAAGGTTGCTTTTACCTGCATTTGGTCTGGGCTTATGTGGAACTTGCTGAGGATGTTGCTGAGGAAGCTCTGCACCTCAAACCAGGGGTAGATGCTGTTGGAGCCGTCCAGCACGATCACAATGTCCATGTACGTTGTGCACCCTGCAAGAACAGACTTGCTTTGGTCTCAGCTGCATCCTTCCGAATGTGCGTGTGCGTGATTACGCTGCGCCGTCGGAGCGATAATCTCTCTCGGTTGGAGGTCGTCATTGACAGAGGCGCAGATGCCGGTGCTGAACATGGACGTGCCGCACTCCTGAGACCACAGTGGTGCACATGCCTGCCGAAATAGGGGGGGAAAAAAATAGCGATGAGCTCTCAGCTTTATATGAACAACGAAACAACTTGCACGCTCCTTGCTTTTGTCTGACAAGCTACCTCATCACTTGCCTGCCTCGTGCATACACCCGCTAGCTCCATAAAAACGCAAACATTAAAAAATATATATATTTTAGGGTGAGGCGGTGGAACGGATTAGTGGCACTTCCATTCATTTCAGTTGGGAAATATGATTTGGTATAGGATTGCTTTGGAACTAGGAGCATGGTCACGAAACAAATTAAACTCTCATCTCTAACCACCACCGGACATTTACTAGTGCTGGTATATTGTGTACACTGCATATTCTAAGTTGTACTATAGAGTGAGGTGTCGGTCTGGATGACCTCTGTGCTAAGTTATCCGGCTGGTTATTTGCTTGCGATCAGAAGCGTCGAGCAGGCACACACATATGGTGTTTCGCTAAAGTGACTAAATAAGGGCAAGCAGTGAGCAAAAACAGTCGAGAGAGGGAGTCAGTCATGGAAAAATCACAATAGTGCGGTTTGGGGGACAGAACATAGAGGTGGATAAAGATGGAGGTGGGGGGGGGGGACTATTGTTGTCATCTTGGCAGCACCAGAACAACAGGCCAGTCAGGCAATTTGGCTCAAAAAATTGAGCTGAGAGTGAAAGAAAAGGACGAAAGAGAGTCACAAGTGGGTCTGAAATTGCGGAAAGAGAAACATCCTGTCTTATGTTTTGTCCTGTTATGACAGAAAGCGGATCAGTTGATGATGGAAAAACGAGCAGTGTAAAAGATGGAAGAAACTCAACGGAGGTGCGTTGGCTTTTTGCAGGTCTTTCATTAACAAAAGGCCGGAGACACATTCCGAGCCCGTTATAGACCTGACCGCCGGCCTCAAGAAAAACACACGCACAGGCGTTCAAATAGGTCTACGCCGGCCAGTTTTTTCATGGCCTATAAACGAGCGAGCTCCAACAGCAGCGGCAAGAAGTTGGCGGCTGTGCAAAGACACACTGGCTTAAACGGAACACGCAAAACGCCAACCCGGCGGAGGTCATTGACTCGCAAAATTACACACCCGCACGTTTTCGTCATCGGTCCTCCGGCAACCGCTGCTCTCATAAGTGGAGAGATTGAATGTGAAGCAAGCTTGAAAAGGATAATAGGACTACCGTATTTTCCGCACTATGAGGCGCACCAAAGCATCTTCCGTTTTTTTAAAAGCTCACAGCGCCTTAAAATCTGGTTCGCCTTGTGTATGGTCACTACGGTAATATGTCGACCCCAATATGCTTACATGCTTACAATGTTATAACTTGCTGTTGGTTCAGTGAACTGTGTCGTTGCTTTATTAAATAAGTTTTTGTTTCAGTTCCGAAAAAAGGGGAGCTGTGGTGTTGTTTTTTTTAAACGCACACTTTATTAATGGTTTTCACAGTCTCAACAAATGCAGGTATGTCTTTGTCCATTTCCGTGCCTTCTCTTCTTCTGTTCGACTCGAGAGGCGTTCATGACCGCCTCCGAAAAATGTAAATTAACGATTCCTTCAATGAAACTACGAAAATTGAAAATAATGCATCAAAACAGAAAATCAAGTGAGGAAATCACAAAATAAATTCTATAGCCCCCGTACAGAATTTATTTTTTGATCGAGTCAAACGGAAGGAGCGTAGCTCCATCTAGTGGATGAATTGTAGATTGCGTTTTATAATCCAGTGCATCCAATATATGAAAAAAAATGACAAACTAAGCCATTCATTGAAGGTGCGCCTCATAATCCAGTGCGCCTTTTAGTGCGGAAAATACGGTACTCATAACGATGACTCCGATTGCAATCCTATTTGGAAGTACCGTACATCTGTGCCATCACATTATGAGTTTAAATTACCAATACTGAATGTTACTCGCATCAAAATATTCAATAGAGACATTTCAAGCTTCAAAAATTCAACATTCAGGCGAGACCGAAGCGGTTCAGACAGCAGCACCCAACACTAATCAATCATGTTAGCTCCCTTGGTTTGCTGAATTCACTTCTCCTGGAGACCCGGGAAATGATGATTTGCATAAAACACACTGCAAGCGAGCCGTCATGCAACCTATTTGACAAACCCAGCCACCAACCGTTTGCGGGCCGCACGCGTCAGTGAGAATTCAGGAGATAATGGACGACCAGCGCTCCATTTGTCAGGATATAATGGACCATCCGAGCAGTAAGTTTTTCCCTCATGTTTTTGAGGCTGTAGGCTGAAGCTGCAGCTGGACCAAATGGGTGGCGGCAAGGCGAAATGCCAGTATTTTGAGGGTAAGAGCTCGCAGCAACGTGAAAACAAACAAAAAAAAGAACTCAACCACAGTGCGGCGTCTCGGTCCAGCAATTTCGTGGATGTTCTTTTTTCTCTAATCTCTAGTCTACAGAAACTCTTTTGTTCTTCCTCCCATTTATTTGATGTAATTCCACTGTTGACCACCGGATGGCGGCACACTTTTGTCTGACACTAGCATTGAAAGAAGAGGAACAAAAACAGGATGTAATTTTTTTGCCGGAGATTATTAAATGTGAAATCCTCTTCCATCCAACTTTTTATGCCTCCAGAAAGCAACATTTGGAGATATATTTTAGAATTTTTTTTTTTTTTATCTGTGAGCACCATGATTAATGCATATTGTGAAATACTAAATCAAGTTTGTTCGTTAGGGGAGAAACAGGATTTGTTTACCGTTAGCACAGGGTATCATGACACTGTTACACTATTTGTACAAGATTCTTGTCTTATCCAGAAAAGTGTCGTGAATGCGATAAAACCAGGGTCCGAGACACATACCAAGAGTCCATCGGGCGAGTCGGGCGTGAGAGTCATCCCCAGGTGAGAGTTTTTCAGGTTTTTCGATATGTTGTGGAAGGCCGCCTCGCCTGAGATGGATGCAAGCAACAGTTCAATTCTCCTCTTTTGTCCTCACGTGAAGGATGTCGGCGCTCACCTAAATTCAACTTGCTGCAGTTGGAGTGGCTCCCCTCTCCCATGCCACATTTGTACACGTCTCCTTTCCTGTTGTTGTGCCGCCCGTCCCAAGGAGCGCCCACCAGCATTCTGCATGGCCACAATGAGGAATGTCAGTTCGCAGCAAAAACAGCACCGCGCTACGGTACCACGTGCGGGCGCTCACGATTTCTCTCCTTCCGATTCATGCTGCAGCACGGAGAAGCCGAAAAGGGCGTCGTCCGGACCGCTGAAGATCCGCGGATGCGTCACGTCAATGTTGAAGCACTGACACAAACCTGGAGAATTGAGCACGGGTGATGAGCGTACACAGAACTTCAATCAAGACGAGTATTTACCACAGGTGGGTTGAAAGTAGAAATAGTGACTGGTCAGAGTCGTTTTAATGCAACAGACTTTTCCTTTTTAGTTGGTTGCGTCATCAGTAACATCACTGCCTCTCGTGTGATACTGCTTATTTGTTTTTTGATTTAGCGATAGCAAATAGCATTCATCAGTTCACAAACAGAAATGGAGGGGAATTATTTTGCAAAAATGGGGTAGAGTCGTCGATTCTAAAACCATTTGACAGGTGAGGCCCTGATTGAGAGCATTTCAAAAGAATCAAAGCGATCACGCAAATCTGCGTTCGTTGACGATCTGAAGAGCTAGAATTGTATTTAAATTGGAGGAAGCACACTCAGCCACTGTTTGTTGAGTGCTGTGGGCCATTTCCATTGGAAAATAAATTGTACGAAAAAAAAACATATCAGAGAGGGGGGGGGCTGTTTTCCTGAGTCACTACTTTTTTCATCCATAAAAACACACAGACACGGCTGCCACACCACAACTGACTAGAGGCTTTGTATGTACATGCACTGCAGCCAAACGCAAAGCACGACAGCGCTCGAGATGTTTGCAGAAAACACAAGGTATGTTCTGCTTGAATGCGTCCTAATGGCAGCAAAACTCATGACCCTTTGAGTTCTGTGGGGGTGGACTTTGAAGCCATGAGTTCACAACTCGAGTGAAGTATAATTTCTGTCTCGGTTTTGGGGAGCGCGGGCTTGGCAGGGAACGGGAGGAGGAGGAGGAGGAGGAAGCGGATGAAAAAGGATGGCTAAACATGGCGAGCGGTAGCGGCGTCGCAGGGCAAAAAAGGGAGTTCACTCTGGAGGTGAGGAAGGAAAGACGCAGGGTGTGTTGCTGAGGAGCATAGTGAGCGCCCTGTTGAGAAGAGCACAAGTCTGCCCTTCATTCGTCCACGCCGAGAGGAGACGGACAGCGGCAAAACGCTTGTCAGCCAGCTCGCTGGCTCGTGAATACGCCAAACTTTCAGCCACCAAATCTTACAAAACACAGACCAACTTTAGCATGGGATCTGGATTGTCCTGACCAAGACAGTCATGGAAGGGAGATTTATTTAACTTTTTTAATCTCAACGAGGCCTTCCTGGGTTCATAGTTTCAAATAATATATAAATTATTGCTTTTAGGTTTAGAGCACAGCAATAAGGACACTATTTAGCGCTAGCATCAAGCTAGTATACTGAAAGTATAAGCTATGTGGTTGTTTTGTCTTTGGTTTCTGTTTAGTTTGAGAGTAACTTCATCTGCGAGTGGCGTTCAACTGCTTGATATGAATAAACATAACACATAAGGATGTTTGTATGTATATATATATATATTTTTTTTAATATCTATTTTTAGATTTTTTAAATTTATTATTTCGTATTATTTCTATTTATTATTTAGTATTATTTATATTTATTATATATTATATTATATGTATTAGATCTCTTATAATAATAATAAATTATAAGTCACTCCTATCTCAAGGCATCACTGTTGCGTTTTGTTTTGATTGAGTTGAACAGGTGATAGGTCAACCTAAAGGTGGAAAAGAGATTCCAAATGATTTTTCTTTTTTTGTTTTTTAAATATCGCCAAAACTTGACTGTCGAACCGGGGTGTGTAGACTTTTCTTGTTGTTCCAGTCACTGTACGTCTCTTGTATGTGAGCCTGATTGTACTTAATGAGGTGTCTGGTGAGCGTCCGCTACTTGTGGTTTTATACATGACATGACTGACCGTACAGCATACGTAAGAACGATGATGAAGTCGGCCTTGAGCACTGCTGCGGCGGTGATACGGTACGTCGCCCAGCATGTCCATATGCCCACAAATTCCAATCAGGTGGGGCCGAACTGGAGCCGTCGCTCCGCTCTAGCTCCACGCGTGTCTTTTTTGTAGCTGCTCGCTGCACTTTATCACCCGCCGGGCTGTTTCGTTTCCGTCATACGGGGCCCCGTTTTCGTGACCGCGTTCCACTCGCACTCGCGGGCCAGCGTTTCACAAAGCCAGCGCGGCTTCCAAACCGTGCTCCTCGCGCCGCTCGTACTCGGCCAAACCTCAAGTGACTTGGACGGGTCGCAGCCATCCTTCTTGATTCCACACAGATGTTCCGAAGCGTTTGGTTCACCAGTGAGAACACCAGCGTGGAATCTTCCCCTTTATGGGCCTTTGGTTTATTTTTGAACAGGTTATTCCCTTCGGTTCTCCCTGCGCTTTTCTTGTGGCTGCATCCACACCCAACTCTCCACAATAAGATTCCTTCTTGTCTCCTTGATCCTCCTCTTCCAACCCATAAAGGGGCCTCTTTTTGTCCATCTCCCCACTCAATACCACAGGACCCCCCCCCA